CACAATTTCTATGCCACATATGCTTCTGTAGTATCTCTACTTCATTTTATCATCCACAGAATAGACTGTCTCCAAGTGAGAATTTAGGGTTGAATTTTTGTTAAATGTTTTGTGTAGAGTATTTGGATACTTAACAGTAAATGAAAATTGTTTTGCCATCACTGCGTTTTAACCAAGAGAAACATATTCATATAAGTGCCAAAAATGACATCTTTAAAGTGCCACAACATCTTTTTTGTTGTTTTGTTCTGTGTTTTTTGTTGAAATGCTTCCACAGATTATCACAGCTACAACTTCACAAATGTATACATATATTTATTACCATGTGGGTCTTGCAACTAAACGTTATAGCATTGAGTGCTTCTGTTTACAATCTAGAGTCCTCAAAGTGGCAACCGTCATTTCAAAATATGTTGCCAGAATCCCAAATAGTGCTTGTGTAAAGAGGGATTTGAATGTTTTAATTCCTATACCATGTGGGTTTTGCAACTAAACGTTATAGCACTGAGTGCTTCTGTTTACAATCTAGAGTCCTCAAAGTGGCAACCGTCATTTCAAAATATGTTGCCAGAATCCCAAATAGTGCTTGTGTAAAGAGGGATTTGAATGTTTTAATTCCTATAGATTAAATTATTCTGGTGCCAGATCCAGGTGATACCACCACAAAGTTACACAACAGAATTTAGCCTATTTTATATTTCCTCTTTTTACAGTATTATCCCTTAAGACACACAAATCTTTCAGAGACATCATAAATTGAAATAAAGTCAAAGGCATATCATTGCCAAATTGATCAACTACTGTATAAAACAAATGAAGCTAATTTAAAAAATGTTGTTTGTTAGAATAAACATACACAGTCTTATATTCTTAATAGGATTGTAGTTCTGATGATATGTGTTAATTATCCCTTCAACTGTTTGCCAGCTTTTTTTAGACAGTATGGGGTTTTCCCTTTTCTTCCATGGCTTCTTCAAGCTAGTTGAGCCTATACTACATTATCTATCTATCTATCTATCTATCTATCTATCTATCTATCTATCTATCTATCTATCTATCTATCTATCTATCTATCTATCTATCTATCTATCTATCTATCTATCTATCTATCTATCTATCTATCTGCCTGCCTGCCTGCCTGCCTGCCTGCCTGCCTGCCTGCCTATGAAACAAGTTAATTAAATCATAAGATGTTTTCAGCACACACCAATAAAAGAGTAAGACTCCCTTCTGTCAATTTTTCCAGGCCTCTCATTAGTTTTCTATACTATTGATTTTAGTATTCTTTTAGAGTGATTATTTATTTATTTATTCACATCAGAGCATTGCACAATTTAAAATTATGGACCTATATGAAATATATGTAAAATTAAAAACAAATTAAAATGTTAAGACAATTAGACCAATTTTGACCAGAAGCAGGCTACTTCAATAGCATTATCTCAACCATTTGCTAGATCCTCTTTGTTCATGTAGTGGGGCATAAATTGCATGCATGTAAATGCTGCTTGGATTGAATTTCTCCACAGATATAGGGTGGTTGCAAGCTGAGTATTAGCAGTACTACTAATCAGTAGTGGACTCATACCTAAGTAACCATTGTTTTCATTCCATAAGCTCTCCTGGGTACATTTACAGTAAAGCACCCAATGTTTTTATAGAGCAGGCAAAATTTAAAAACAAGCATATGCACTTACTCAGGATGTCTTCAGCTTAGCCTTAAAGTAAAGAAGGTGGATATCAAGTGACTGACACTGTGTACCTATATTTCACACTCTGAGTGCAAGTATTATCCTATTTCCAATGAGACACATTAAAGTTTTCCCCTCATCTTGTTCCTACACACCTCATCACAGTTTTAAACTGTGCAGCTTTGGACATTCCACTACAATTTGCTCATAAAGCTATATTCTTTGCTTTGGTATCATATCTGATCTCTCACAATTGTTTAAAACAGGTCCATAATAACTATGGATGAACTAGAACTTTGTCTCAAGTCACCAAATTTAGAGGGTGCAGCCCTTCCCCGCCTGGTGGCCTAGTCTATTGCTATAGGAAAAGTCAGCAGTAGACCAGGCCTTCAGAGTACAGTACACCATAACGTTGATTTTCTTCTGGTGGCCATGTAGGTGAGGCAGGAGAAAGATGAAAGATGGTTGACTCACTGTGAGACTTACCAAGACTCACTGAATCTCTGATTTAAACTCAGTTAAAATCAGTGTACATAGTAATTAATTTATTTATGGTCATGGTACTTGAATCACAGACTTAGAAAAGGACATACTGTAGATGTATTACTAAACCTTTTGCCGATATGATATCAGGAGCAATCCCTTCTGAAGTCTTTCCCGATTGTGTGCAAATCTCCTCAGTAAGAGGAAGAGATGCGAGATAAAATATTTTAAATAAAATAAATAAGACAACCCAGGTGGGTTTTGAACTGTGTAAGGTGACGTGCTACCCAAAAGCTGTTAAGTGAGGACTGAGCATATTCAGCAGGCCATGGAATACTGACTAAGCTATTCAGGAGTAAGTGTAAAAAAACTGGGAGGAAGCAGTAATACTATAATGGAGTGGATGGAATTCTGAATAACAGAACTGCTGACTGCAGCATTTTGCATTTGCTTTCATTCTTCTTCAAGTATATGAAAGTATCAAATAGTTTTGCCTAGCCTAGTGCCAGCTTGAAGACTTCATCTGAAACCACTAGGAAATTTCAGTTTTAACCTCAAGATATATATCTATGCCATTCAAATTCAGAACTTGGTTTTCTTGTGGCTAAAAGAGAAGTACGTGCCATGTAATCTGCAAACTCATATTGTCTACACAAATAAGCAGTACTTCTCACCTGATGTAAAATGCCATAAAAATTCACTTGATATGCGAAGGATGTGAATACCAAACTCCGGTGAGGCATGAATCCTAAGCATAGTGAAGTAGGTCTAAGAAAGTGTAAAATGCCACAAAAATTCACTTGATATGCGAATGATGTGAATACCAAACTCCTAAGCATAGTGAAGTAGGTCTAAGAAAAGGTAGTGGTAACAGATGAAACAAAGGTAAAATAAAATCAGATGAAATGTAATGAAGTGTAGATTTCTGACATTCTGCAGTATCTCCTGACCCCAGTTAACTCCAGTATGTTTCCTCATAGAAGGAATTTGTGTTTGCTAGTAAGACTTGCCTGCTTCACAAATAGAACTTGACCCTTCTAGTTCATTTCATCTTGGTTTGTTGGAAAAGTAACATGAGCCTTTTTTGTCCTATATTGGCTAGGACGAAATGTGTCCCATGGGGAAAAAAGAGTTTTTCAATACCTTTTTTTGGTCTGAATCATTTATTGTTGTTCCTTAAAGGGGAGGAAACTGTACACGGCTGAACTTTGAAGGACTTTTTTGCTACAATGGAGGTAACAAATGACCTGCACTGTCAGTTTACTTAGGGTTGGCGTGAGCTCTCCCACTGCTTGGGGTGAGAACACTGCTGCCCACACAGCAGTGGCACCCCACACATTGCAGCATCAGCATCTTTTCACCATCTCCCATCTTGCAATGCCTCTCCTAAGCTTAGGAATAAGAGAGAAGTAGCACAGAAGTAACACTTTTGCCGAAATCAGTGTTTCTTTTTTTCTACAGTCGTTTGAGTAATTACTCTTTGCAATTGACCTGCTTTGCTAAAGACAGAAAAGTATCAGGAGGAGAGAGTGTTAAGGAAGAAGAAGAGCATGAGGAAGTTAGAGAAATAACTGCAAAGATTGGAAATAGTGACACTGGCACTCCCATTTCCACATCGCACAGAGGGAGAGACAACAGGTGCCCCATGGCCACAGATTAGCTCCCCTTTGTTTAAGTGAGTTTAAAATGTGAACATGCACATGCTTAGAGTATTTCTTTTTGTCTGGGTTACCAAATAGTTATGTGATTTACTGTTTTGTTCCAACATACCAGAAATATTGATGGAGTTATGGAGCATATAATGGTGCTGATGTGGTGTGGGTAGTTGTGTGATTCGCGGCTGAACTAAAACAACATGGTTGTCCAACAGGAGGGTATTACAGTATAAGACTGAAGCCACAATTGTAAATGTCCTAGCTGCATTGTTGGCTAGATTTCTGTAGTTTGAAGTACAGTACATCTTCAGCAAATGGGAAATCTAAATATTCTATTTTTGTTAAATCAGAAAATTAAATTTCATTTAATATGGGTCCTGAACATAACCAAAAAAAAAAAATCCATCATATTTTTGTACATCTTGTCCCAGCAATCACATAATGCCAGTGTCGATGTTTTTCAAAGGAATAACAATACATTCACTCCTGAACTAAATCAATTAACATTTCCTTCAGCCATCTAATAATCTATTTTAGTAGAAAGAAAGAAAGAATCCTTCCTTTCATACTTTAAAAAACATTATTTCAAATGTGTTTCCCAAACAAGATTACAGATTTCTAAAACAGGTTCACCTTCTGTAAACTTTGAAATGCTAATAACAGCTGTTAAAAAGAAAAATGTTTGGCTGGTGAGTTTTGAAGAATAGACTGTTTAGACAGTGTGTTTTTTTATTATAGATGTTATATCTACCAGATTATATTTTTAAAAAATGATATAAACCTAACATGTAAAATTAGAGGTGACTTGTATGATGATGTTAACTCTAGAAATTACATTGTCGCTGTCCTCTTTCTGTGTAATAAGTGATATCAAGAGTAATGGTTAAGGCTGACTAATTTCCCAATAACTCATCTGTGGGAATTAGATTATCGTCTGTGGATCCCAAGGTTTGTCTTTTTTTAAATAACAATATAGGTATATTCAGAAACCATCTTTGCTTTCTGTACCATCTTCTACAGAAATAGAATGAGATGCAGACACGATATATTTAATGTTATACATATATTTATTCCTCCAAAATTGGGGAAAAACTCTTCATCTTTACAGGAATGATAGTGATACTGTAGTTCAATCAAAATACAAATTACATTTCATAGCAGAGGGAAAAAGTTATAGATACAAAAAATTTTTGTATATTTTGAAAGAATCTTACACTGTTCAGTATTCTACAGTTAACAGAAAGCAATTTGAATTTAACAAGATGCTACCAATCTTAAATGAACTATAGTCTCAAAGGCATCAGGATCCGATGGTTACTGTAGGTTTTTCAAGCTCCACAACACAGCCAAACAGCCTGAGAAACCTACAACCTAAAAGAAATGCTTTGTATAAATAAACCTTTACAGTATAAGTTTTTATTCTAAACCTTGTGAAGAACTAGAAAAGTTAGGTCTGAACTGGTATGATTTTGTAAGTTGAAACAATTCCCAAGGAATGTGAAAATAATGATCCAAAGTCCCGTATAATTTTATTCCTTACTAATTTTAAACACTGAATGGCAGTAGCTGTAATTATCTAGTATATTTCAATTAAACTTTTGTAATTAGCTGCATAATTAAAAATAACTAAGTACAATTCCTATCCAATTCAAAGTATGATCACATTACAATCAATTAATGTGCTTTTAAAATTATCCTCTCTTTTCATTTTCTCATGTTTTCAACATGCCCCCTACACTCCCTTGCATTTTTGCTTCCAGATATTTATTTGGAGGCATCATCAGCGTGAAGGCTTCTTTCAGAATGACACTGACCTTCTTCTCCTCCTAGAAGCATCTTCTCCATGGACAAATGAAGTGAATAAAGTGTCTGAGGTGTCCAAACTGGTTCCAAGGCTGTTGCCCTTTATGTATAGAAGAGTGCATTTGTTCATGGCACGACGGATATAGTCATCAAAGTAGTAACAGATGAAAGGGTTTGTGCAGCTGTCGACAAATGCCAATGGACCTCCTAGTTCCATTCCCAGATGGGCAATCTTGTAGGGAAGGCAGAAAGGTGGCTTCAAGTCCTGAATGTGGGACATCAGAGCTAGAAACTTAAAAACATTGAAAGGAGCCCATGATAAAACAAAAGCAATCACTACAATGAAGACAATTTTGATGGATTTCCTCAGCTTTTTGTCATGTTTCCCTGATTTCTGATAATGCACACAAAGCTTCCTTGTGATGCAGCAATAAAATGTTAAGATGCTGAATAGAGGGACAAAGAAGCCCAGAATTAGAAGCAGCAGTGACCCAATCTTCTGGGTGAAGGTGGTCTCCTTGTCCACACAATATGGGTTGTCATCATATCTCCTCACCTCTCTGGACAGAAGGGTTGGCAGCCCTAGAAGGCAGGATAGAATCCAGGCACAGATGCAGACGATGATGGCATAGTGCTTTGATCTGATCCTCCGTGCCACTGCCGGGTGCATAATGGCCAAGTAGCGATCATTGCTCATGCAAGTAAGTAGGAAGATGCTACAGTGCATGTTGACAGAAATGATGTAAGAACTGCCTTTGCAGAGAAAAGAGCCAGATCTCCAAATCCCAGAGTAGATCTCCTTGTCCACCCACAAGGGCAATGTGATGAGAAAAATAAAATTAGACATGGCCAAGTTGACAATGAAGATATCAATCAACCTCTGGACACGTCGCTTGAAAAGTAGGGCTGCTATCAGAAGGGCATTGCCAACAGTCCCCACAAGAAATACAGTTGCATACAAAGCAGGCAGGATAATGTCCTTGTAAGGCAGCTCTACAGTTGGGCAACTGTCTTCAGGAGTCTTTGTACCAAAAGAATATGAATAGTCGTAAGTGGAAGTTAATCCCTCCATTTTAGAAAAGGTTTATTAATTGGTCTGTCTTGAAGCTTTCCACACTATTATATATAGGTGCTACAGGTGGTAAATCTGGTCTCTCTCTCTCTCTCTCTCTCCTTCAGTTTCTTCTAAAGGACAAGACAAAATCTTTTAAAACACCACACCCATAACCACCTATCAGATTCTGATAGATGATTTAGATGTTTAATGCAGAATGGGAGGACCTGGTTTTACCTGACCAATCAGCTTGTTTTCTGCCAGCTTGTTTTTTTTTTCATATGGCATTTGACCATAAAGTATGGTAGTGTGGTTTCCTCGAACTTTGAGAAGTGGAGGGTTGGGTTTCTTTCAAAACATGAGGCATTAAATGTGGTTTTGAGGTTATATATGGGTATTAGCAGAAGTAAGGAACCACTGCCTAGAGATGGTTATTTAAATAACCGTTTCTCTGTTTTTTTCAAACCTGAAGACATTTCACTCCCACAAGCTTTATCAATTGACATTGTTGTTTTTCTGACAAGAATGTTCAATGCAAAGCAAGTGAGATGAAGCCTTTTGATTCTAAAAGCAGCAAAACATCCTGTTCACTAAGTTGTGCTTTTAAATAGCAGTCTGTTGTTGTTAATTTTTATTTTATAAAAAGCTCCTGTATTTTTTCAAAGTAATTAAAAGCTCTTCCCTCACTTTGGTTTGCTCGTGAAAATTTGGAGTGCCTTCTGACAAAATTTTATTGTGCAGTTACCTAATATAAAATTCTAAAGGTGGTTTAGAAAAATTCTTAAGCTAAATGAGTGCTTTATCCCAGAACTGTAATGCCTGTTATTAAAGCCAATTGTCTTTCTGATGAATGGATTGAAAAAGGAAAATTACCTCAAAAGGATATCTAAAACTGTGCCAGATGACATCTGGTACCAAAGTGCTAATAAGTTTGCAACTGGAGAGGAAGCTAAGCTGTGGACCTCAACAGACCAGCTTATCAAGACTGTTGTATACATGAAAAAAGAAAATGTTGATAGTAAACTTGAAGGTAATCAAGTTGAATTAAGTACAAGCACAATCATCTATATGCTGATTGTGGGTGATATTTATTAGAAGAGTATCAGTAAGCAGATCTATATCACCTATACAAAAAATATTGGCTTGTTTCCTTCCTACGCGTCTTCTGTCCTTCTAAATACTGTACTGTATAGCTTGAATTGCTGCAAACTGTTGCTTCTTTTATGCATGCCCCAACTATGACTTTCTCCTTTCCTCCCTTATTCTGTACTTTATCAGTTTATTCTGTACTGATATGATAAACTCTGATTTCCTCCACCCATTGTCCATACTCATCTCCTTAGCCAGCTGCTGCTTTGTGTTCTTCCTGGATAGTTTGCTTTATTCCTTCCATAAGGCCCACATGATGTTTCAGTTGTCTCTTGGCTCTTCATTCTTTATCTATTGGGTTTTTTTTAATTGAAACAGGTAATTCACAAAAGAGACATGTTCCTGGGCCAGCTTAATATCATAACTTGGAAAAGCTGCCTTTTTCACTACAACTCCCATAGTCCTGTACCCAGCTTGGTCACTGTTGTGATCCAGTAATGACTGGCACCAGTTAGGAATGATGGGATGGGCACCAGGCTTTAAAGCCTCTTTCCATGCAAAAAACTTCTGACTTAACCAAGCATTGACTGCTGTGCCTTCCGCCCCACCAACCGCAATGTCACCAATACAGTGAAATATGATAATACAGTAATCACATGCCATCAAGTCAATTCCAACTTATGGCTATACTTTCCTAAAAGGTAAAGGTTCCCCTTGACATTTTTAGTCCAGTCGTGTCCAACTCTAGAGGGCGGTGCTCATCCCGTTTTCAAGCCGTAGAGCCAGTGCTTGTCCAAAGAGCTTTCCTAGTGCTGACTAAAAGGGTGGTGGTGATTGGCACAGAGACAGGAGGATGTTTTAACTTCAGATTTGGTTGCAGCTGTTTAAGGTAGCTTTGCTATGCCTCTCCAGATTTGTAGCAGGCAAAGTTAAACCAGCACTTTCTTAAACCTTCCTCTGCACTCTGTGCACAACAAATTACTTTCATGGTGATTATATTTTGGGTGACCTCTGTTTAAAAAAAGCAAGTAAAAATTATAACATGTGTTTCAGCATACCTAAAAACAGTCTTTGGACTGCCGTCAGTCAGTCCCTCCTGGATCTTGGGGCCATGGCAAATATAACTCCCAAATGTCATGCTTGCCTCCTGGGTTTCTCAGGACATCTGATGGCTCATCCTAATGACACAAATTAATATTGTAAACCCCCTGTAATAAGAAAAAAAACTATTGTCTGAAATTAGAGGAGTCTAGCATCTATCTTGATATTTTTTTCAAACGTTGTTGCTGAATGTTTGGCTTCTGAAACCACCAGCAAACATCTGCAAGGTTAGTAAATTTGTTATAAACACAGGGACAGGGAAGTGGTTAAGAATATAGCATCTGAAAGACAACCTTGTTTTTTAACATAAAGACTATATTGAAGAACTCGGGGAGGGGGGAGGTAAAGTTAAAATAAAGTAGAAATTAGAAAAATTGGTGATGTTCATCCCTCAACCCTTTCATTCAATTTGAATAAGTCTCTAACTTAAAGGCCTTGCAGTAAAAGTCAGATTTCTACTGTGATTTGGGAACTAATAGAGCTCAATTTGAATTCTCCATCATGGTACGAATGGGGGTACATTAATATATCTAGTCAATTTGCTGTCAGCTTCTCAGTCCTCAAAGTGGCTCACAACATTTGTAACATGTACTAGGCACATTAAAAACTGTAGACTCCCCACAGCACAAGTATAGGAAATACAAACCATGTTGTGTCAATCACCCCACCTCCATATTTTTCCCTATAGTGCTACCTGGACTAAAGATGTAAAAATGAAGAACATTCCAGAAACCTGTATTTTAATTTTCTCCTTTACCACCAGTACAGGTATGTGAGGAAACATCTTCAGAAATACATGGAATATTTATTTTAGATTATCACTGATATTATTGTTAATGTAATGTACTGTGTAACTCTGTTCTATAGAAGGCTAGGCTGGACTTCTCTTTACTGCAGGAAAAAACAAGACTTTTTTATTTCCACTGCCCTTTCGTTATTAATCATGTGTTAATGAAGGGTCTTTTAATGATGGATCTAGTAACCTTTTCTTTTTATCTATTGTGCTTTTAAGTTGCTTTTAACTTGTTTTAAAATAGTGCTGGTTTTCAATTAGCAGCTAATGTAATTGTGTTTTTACTATTATAACTCATTGCTTTTAAAATTAAATCCATTTTAATCTGCATTGTGAGCTTCCTGTTTTATTTTCTAGTGGAGCTTCCACAGGGAAATAAAATAAAATGATCCTGCAAAGGGAAACGGTCCTTCAACTTGGTTGCACAAGTTCCCAGGCATGGTTTCCATGTTTATGTCTCTCTCTCATTACCAGGGAGGGGAAGAGACAGGAGAGGATCTCAGCGAAAGAACTAGGAAGTCTATGAATATTGATCTGCATGTAAATCAGTGATGGGCAAAGTGTGACTTGTGGGTCACATATGTCCTTCCCAGGAGCTCAAATACATCCCCCAGTCCATTTTAAAATTAAAGTTTTGTTTCAGAAAGTCTCCTCATATCCTTTAGGGAGTGGAGAAGTATGAAAGCAGGCACGCCCACTGTGTTCTATAACTTGCCATGTGTACTCACTCCCTGGATCTCTGGAAGCTGCCCACCCTGATGTAGATCTGAAAACAGTGAGAGGAGATTGCTGGTAATTGAGCATGTCGTTATAGATTCGTACAGACCTAACTCCATATCTGAATTAGTGTTAGCTAAACCTGTTCAGAAGATATGCAAATGAATCATTCCGTCATCTTGAATTCTGTAGTATCTATAAAATCAGATTTCGAATTACAACATGTTGAGCTAGGCAACACAAATTGTGGAATTAAAAATACTATGTCACCTTTCCTCAACCATTGTGCCTTTCATGTGTGTTGAACATAGCGTCTTGAGATGAGGGGGACTGTAGCCTAACCCATTGGGAGAAAAGTCTAAGTGGTTTTTTTAAAAAAAGTTGCTATTTAAGTTATACCCAGTATGGTGTAGCGGACAGAGCGATTGAGGGGACCCGGGTTCAAATACCTGCTCAGCCATGGAACATCACTGGGTGGGGTAAAAAGGTAAAAACAATCCTTAAATATCTCACTTACTTTGAGATCTCTCTTAAGATCCCCATAAGTTGCTTCTGTGGCTTGACAGCACATTAAAATGAGGAAGACATTTTCTTTTTTTCTTTGGTTTTTCCTTTTTGTCAGCTTTTAGGACTTGAAAAGGAAACACTACTCAACAATTTGGTTTACCCACAAGGTAAGGGATGGGGAAAGTGCAAAGTTCCAGATATTATTGGACAGCAACTCCCATCGGCCTTAACCAGTACAGGCAGTGGTGGAGAATGCCAAGAGTTGCAGCTTAGCAAAGTCTGGACAGCTGCACTTTGCTTGTTAGGCTGATCTAAGAGAATGATCTTGGTTTCCTTCTGGGAGGGAAATTAAAAACTGGATATTCTGGTTTTGATTATTACATTCTGGTGCTAAGTATCTATTTATAACTATACTGTAACTATGAGATATTTTAACAGAAAAGATATATGCAGACAGTTGCAGGTTCAGGAGGGCATCTGTCAGTAGAGCTAGGGGAAGAATCCTGTCTGAAAATCTGGACAATTTTAGCTTGTTGGTGTGAACACCAGTGGGAGAGGTAAACCAATAATCGGATTCCATATAAAGTGGCTTACTAACAGAAGTAGCTTTATTTGAGTCTGGATAGCTAGCAGCATTATAACTAAAACGCTGAGATGTGAACCTTGGCCTCTCCAGCTATATTTCTGCAGTTAAAATAGCAGTGTCTGTTTTTTCTCTTTATTTTGGAACGAGAGAGGAATCAAAGTGGTAGCAAATGGCAAAACAATTCCTCACTACTTGGTACAGGGAATTTAACTTTTGGCCAATTGCAAAATTAGTAGCAGAAAAAAAAGTTGTGGTTTCCTGC